CAGCCAGACCAGATGCAAAAAAAACTGCAATGCAGAAAAACTGTTTCTCGGTGGTCGTAGTGGTTGGCGCTGCCTCCCTGGTGCCCCCTGAACCACTCTCGCCCGAATCCTGGGCTAAGATTTCAGCACTAAGCGCAAACCAGACCAGCCAGACCGGATGCTAAAAAACTGCAATGCTAACAAAAGCTGTAAAGCAACAAACAAATGCAACGCAATACAAACTGCTGTTCGGTGTTCGTAGTGGTTGACGCTGCCTCCCTGGACCTCCCATAAGCCCCCCTCGTCCGAATAGTAAGCTAAGGCTTAAGCATTAAGCGCAAACCAGGCCGATCAAACCAGCCAGACCAGAAGAAAAAAAAGCAATGCCAACATAAAACTGCAAAGCAAAACAGACTGCAATGCCAAAACTGTTGTTCGGTGGTCGCAGTAGTTGGCGCTGCCTCCTGAGATCTCACCATAGCCACTCTCACACGAATCCTAAGCTAAAGCTTCAGCACTAAGCTCAAACCAGACCAGCCAGACCAGCCAGACCAGATGCAAAAACTGCAATGCCAAAATCATTGCAATGCAAACAAAAACTGTTGTTGGTGGTCGTAGTGATAGGCGCTGCCTCCCTGGACCTCCCCTAAACAACTCTCGCCCGAATCCTAAGCGAACCCTTCAGCACGAAGCTCAAACAAGACCAACCAGACCAGCCATACCAGATGCAACAAAATAAATGCAGTGCAAAAAAGTGCAAGACAAACAAAAACTGCAGTGCAAAAACAACTATTTTTTCGGTGGTCGTCGTAGTGGTTGGCGCTGCTTCCCTGGACCTCCCCTAAACCACTCTCGCCCGAATCGTAAGCTAGAGCTTGAGCAGTAAGCTCAAACCAGGGCCTCCACGAGGCCCCCACGAGGCCCCCACGAGGCCCCCAAAGGCCTCCAACATGCCCCCAAGATATTCCAAGAGGCCCCAAGGAGGAGCCCCAAGAGACCCTCGGAATCATCCAGGAGGTTTCTGACCCACGATATATAACTTGCACAATCGTCTCAAACACACACTCCTTGTGGGGTCGGCGGAATAGAGTAAGCCACTTGAACAACTCTTCCCTGTCACACCCCGAGACGCATCAGTACGGCGGGCCGGGCGTTTCGTGTGAGACTGCCTCACCATGTATGATCCTTCAGCCGAAAGTTCGCAACAGCTTCACGGATGAAGGGCGGGGCGCTTTCAAAATGTGGCTCTCGCCTTAGCGCAGAGCACATCCGTCGCAACAGCTTGCAACAGCTTCACGAATGGAGGGCGGGTGGTGTTCAAAATGTGGCTCTCGCCTCAGCTCCGGGCAGACTCGTCGTAAAAGATCGCAAGAATTTCACGGATGGAAGGCGGGTCTTTTTCAAAATGCAGCTCTCGCCCTAGCGCCGCGCACATTCGTCTTTTGCAAGAGCTTCACGGATGGAGGGCGGTACCTTTTCAGAATGTGCCTCTCGCCTTAGCGTCGAGCGCATATGTCTTCAGAACTCAAAACAGTCTCAAAATCAGTAGAACTCACGTCCCAGAAACGGTGTTTTGGAAAGATGTAGGACTGTGAGGTCGCAACCGTTACGTCAATTCGCGGCCATGGAGTCCTAGACATGGTGTTCTGGCACGATTCAGGACCGTCAGGACGCAACAGTCACGTTGATTCGCGGCGTTGAAGCCCCAGGAACGGTGTCCTGGCACGGTTCAGGATTTTCAGAAGATTGTCTGCCAACGGGGCACTCCCTCAATAAAAATGAGCCCTTGCAGGGACCCGTGACGAGGAAACTTGGAGGGAGGGTTTAGTGCAACGTCGTTGATGAGTCTTGGGTTTGCACTGGTCCTCTTCCTCCTCCTCCGCCTCCTCCTCCTCCTCCTCCTCCTCCCCCTGCCGGCCCTAGTGAGCAGGCAGGGCTGTAGCACAACAAATCGCAGGGGATTTTGGCAATAGCGCGTAGATCGCCTGAGTAGGTGCTCTGACGTTATACCCCCTTTATGCGGGTGTCCTTGTCCTCCTCCTCCTCCTCTTCCTCCTCCTGGGTCGACGACGACGACCACAACGACAGCGACGGCGGCGCGCAGGCGCCTCACAAGATCGGCGAGATGGACGCATGCCAGGAGTGCACCGTGCGCGCTCTCGCGCGCAGCTCCGACCAGAACTTCAAGGGGAAATCCGGCAGCGGTGACGAAGAGCATCCAAGAGGCCCCAAAGAGAACCTCGATCCTCGATCCTTGAAAATTGATCCTCCTCCTCCTGCTTCTCCTCCTCCTCCTTCTCCTTCACATGGTGCCTCGATCCTGGGCACTCGGTCCTCGATCCTCCTCCTTCTCCTTCTCCTTCTCATCCTCATTCTCATCCTCCTCCTCATCCTCCTCCTACTTCTCCTCCTCCTCATCATCATCAGCAGCAGCATAATCTTGATCGTCAGCAGCAGCATCCTCGTTGCCTTCCTCCTGTTCCGCCTCCTCCTCCTCCTCATCATCATCCTCATCCTCCTCATCCTAATATTGCTCGCTCTCCTCCTCATGCTCACACTTCTCCTCCTTGGTCATCGATCCCCGATCCCCAATCCTGAATCCTCTTTATTCTCACTCCTCCTCCTCCCCCTCCGCCTCCTCCTCCTCCATCCCTTTCTCCATATGAATAACCCCTCCCTCTCGCACCCCCAGACGCGTCGATGGGGCGGGCGGGGCGTTTCGCTAGAGACTTCCTCACCATGTACGATCCTGGAGCTTGAAATCCGCAACAGTCTCATGGACGGACGGCGGGTGGTTTTCAAAGTGTGGCTCTCGCTCGGCGCGGCGCCGAGGGGAGAGCCCAACTCTGAAAAGACACCGCCCTGCACCACTGGAACCGCTGCAGGACTATGGTGCACGGCGCAAAGACGAGAGCCCAGCTGTGAACATGCACACTTCGACAAACGAAACATCGAGACGCTGAGGCGAGAGTTCCACGTTGAAAACGACCTCGTGTCAAATGCTGTAGCAGGTTCAGTGATGGAAGGCGGTTGCGCTTCCAACGGTTTCTCTCGCACGAGCCCTGCGCGCAGTCGTCTTCCAAGCCCCACAGCAGCTTCACGGGTGGAGGAGGCACGGCTTTCAAGAGTCATGCTCTCGTCTCAGTACCGCGCGCAGTCGTCTGAAGAGCTTGCAGCCGTGGAGATGATCGGTGGGGCTGAAGTCAGAGGAATCGTGTCCTGGCACGGTCTGGGACTCGCAAGACGCGGCAGTCACGATAATTCGCGGTGTGCAGGTCCAGGAATGGCGTTCGGGTACGATTTAGGACTGTCAGGACGCTACAATCACGTGGATTCGCGGCGCTGGGGTCCCAGCAGGAATTTCGTTTAACACGACTGGATTCTCGAACTGCTGCCCGTCAATGGAGCACTTCCCGCAAATCTCAATACCTTGACGCAGGAACATATAATGAGGGAGCGTGAAGGGAGGGTGTACTGCAACATCGTTGATGCGTCTGGCGTGTAGACTGGTACTGCTCCCCTTGCCCGCCTGATCATCATCATCATCATCATCATCATCATCATCATCATCATCATCATCATCATCATCAGCATCATCAGCATCATCATCATCATCATCAGCATCAGCATCAGCATCATCCTCATCCTCATCCTCATCCTCATCCTCATCCTCATCATCATCATCATCATCATCATCATCATCATCATCATCATCATCATCATCATCATCATCATCGTCAGCATCATCATCGTCATCATCATCATCATCATCACCATCAACTTCATCATCAGCATCATCATCATCCGCCTCCTCCGCATCACCATCATCATTATGAACTCATCATCTTCATCGTCATCATTAGTATCATCAGTAATACTATCATCATCAATAACATTATCATCGTTATCATCATAATCATCATTGCTAGTATCAGCATCGTCATCACCATCATCATAATCATCATCACCATCAGCATCAACATCAGCATCATCATAGCAGCCGCATCAGCAGCATCATCATAATCATCAGCATCGTCATCATTATCAGCATCGTCAACAGCAGCATCAGTATCAGCATCAGAATCCTCATCCTCATTATCATCATCAGCATCAGCATCATCGTCGTCACCACCATCATCCTCACCAACACCATCGTCGTCATCATCATCATCATCGTCATCAACATCATCATCAGCATCATCACCACGATCATCAGCATCATTATCATCATCATCGTCATCATCATTATCGTGAGCATCATCGTCATAATCATCACCATCAGCATCACCGTCACATCGTCATCATCATCAACATCCTTATCATCATCATCGTCATTGTCCTGATTATCATCGTCCTCATCATCATCAGCAGCAGCATCATCATCACCACAATCGTCACCATGGTCATCGTCATCACCATCTTCAGCATCAGCAGCATCATCACCATCATCATCATCATCATCATCATCAACAACTTCATCATCATCATCAGCATCCGCATCATGATCCTCATCATCATAATCATCGTAATCAGAATCGTAATCATCAGCATCATCATCATCGTCGTCGTCGTCAACATCATCATCAGCATCATCATCATCGTCATCATCATCGTCATCATCATCGTCATCGTCATCATGGTCATCATCATCAGCACCAGCATCATCATCATCGTCGTTGTCATCATCATCCTCATCATCATCGTCATAATCATCGTCATTATCATCATCGTCATCATCATCGTCATCGTCATCATGATTATCATCATCATCATCATCATCATCATCATCATCATCATCATCATCATCGTCATCGTCATCGTCATCGTCATCGTCGTCGTCGTCGCAACCACCACCACGACCACCACCACCATCGTCATCATCAGCAGCAGCATCATCCGCCCTCGATCCTAGGTCCTCCTCCTCCTTTTCCTCCTCGTCCTCCTCGGCCCTAGAACCTCCATCCTCGATCCTCCTCGATCTCCTCGGCTGCCCAAGGCCACGGCGGCGGCGGCGGCCGCGCGCGGCGCCGCGCCTCAGGCAGCAGCAGCCCCGCGGATGGGAGGCAGCCCCGCCAGAAAGGGCCGGCGCCGGGGCCGCGCCGGGCCGCCTGGATTCCCCTCGCGCTGGGGCGGCAGACAGGCCTCCACTTCGCGGGCCAGCTCCGGCCTTGAAGGGGGGAGGGGGTCAGGAGGAGGAGGGTCGAGGATCGAGGATCGAGGACCGAGGACCGAGGAGGCGGATCGAGGAGGAGTGGGAGGATGGAGGATCGGGGACCGAAGATCGGGGATCGAGAAGGATGGGGACGAGGAGGAGGAGGAGAATGAGGAGGAGGAGGAGGAAGAGAAGGAGGGGGAGGAGGCTCGTTTCCCTTGCCTCCCTTCTACTCTTCCCTCCGTCCTCCTCCCTCCTCCCGCATCCCTCGTCCCTCCTCCTCCGTCCTCCTCCTCCTGCTCTTCCTGCCTCCTCCCTCTCTCTTCGTCCTCCTCCTCCTCATCCTCATCCTCCTCCTCCTCCCCCTCCTCCTCCTCTTCCTGCTCCTCCTCCTCCTACTCTTCATCCTCCTTCTCCTCCACCACTGCACATAATTTCGACTTCAACGCCGTCTGGGGCGGACACAATCTGCCCCCCTAAGACAACCAAAAGCCACCAAAAAGAGCTACCCGTGACAATTTATGCCGGGGTGGGCGCTCGAGGGGGAGGAGGAGGAGGAGGAGGAGGAGGAGGAGGAGGAGGAGGAGGAGGAGGAGGAGGACGAGGAGGAGAAGGAGGAGGAGGAAAAGGAGGACCAGTGTAAACCCAAGGGGCATCAAGGATGTTGGAATAAACCCTCCCTCCAAGCTCCCTCTTCATATGCCCCTACAACGGTTCATTTCCATTGGGGGAACTGCCTCGTTGGAAGACAACCATTTGAAGACCCTGCAGCATGCCAAAACATTGTTCTAGGGATTCCAACGCCACGGATCAGCCTGACCGTTGCGTGTTGACGATCCAGAATCGTGCCAGAACGCCATTCCTGGGACTTCAACGAAGCGAATCCACGTAACTGTTGCGCCCGCGTAATCCCGAATCCTTTCAGAACACCATTTCTGGTACGTTGATGATGGGAAGCCATGAAACTCTTGCACATTTTAAAACCAAAGCGCACGGCGGCTACGGCGAAAACCACATTTTGAAAACGACCCACCCTCAATCCGTCAATCAATTGTACATTTTTGAAGATGACTGTGCGCCGCGCTAAAGCGATAACCATATTTTGAAAACGACCCGTCCCAAATCCGTGAAACCCTGTTGCTTTTTGAATGCGCGCCGCGCTAAAGCGAGAGCCACATGTTGAAAACCACCCGCCTTCAATCCGTGAAACGCTTGCAAATTTTGAAAACGAATGCACGCCGCGCGAAGGCGAGATTCACAAATTGAAAACGACCCGCCCTCAATCCGTGAAACTGTTGTACCTTTTTGAAAACGAATGTCCGCCGCACTGCAACGAGAGCCACAAATTGAATACGACTCGTCCTCAATCCGTGAAACTCTTGCACACTGAATGTGCGCCGCGCAAAAGCGAGAGCCACATTTTGAAAACGACCCGCCCTCAATCCGTGAAACTCTTGCAAATATTCAAGACGATTGTGCGCCGCGCTAAGGCTAGAGCCACATGTTGAAAACCACCCACCCTCAATCCGTGAAACTCTTGCCACATCGTAAGCTTCAGAATCATGAATCGTGAGGAAGCCTCAAGGGAAACGCCCGACCCGCCCTAAAAACTGGCTTCGGGGTGCGACAGGGAGAAATTATTTATAAGGAAAAGGAATAAACGAGGAGGAAGAGGACGGAGGAGGAGGAGGAGGAGCAGGGGGAGGACGAAGAGGAGGAAGAGGAACACGACCACTGTAGACCTAAGACTCACCAACGATGCTAAAATACACCTTCCCCCCGAGATCCCTCGTCATAGGCCCATACAGGTCACTTCGACTGAAGTACTGCCCTGCTGGGAGACAACCGTGCGCACATCTTGAAACGGGCCGAAACACCATCCTCAGGACTTCAACGTCACGAGTCAGTCTGACTGTTACGTGTCAGTGATCCTGAATCGTGCCAGAACACCCCTCCTAGGACATCAACCCCGCGAATAAACGTAACTGTTGCGCCCTGACAGTTCTGAATCGTTCCAAAACACCGTGTCTGGCACGTTAACCATGAGACTCATCGCGACATCCTTGCAAATATATAAAAGGCATGGGCGCGGCGCCAAGGCCAGAACCACATTTTGAAAAAGACCAGCCCTCAGTGCGTGAAACCCCTGCACTTTTGTAGAACGAGTATGCGCGGCGCCAAGTTGACAGCCACAGTTTGAGAACGACCCACCCTCAGTCCGTGAAACTCTTGCAAATGTTTTAGAAGCGGCAGTGGCGGCAGGCTCCGGCGTCCACTTGCGTCCTCCACACCCATTTCGGTACACCCCTCACACGCTTCGTGGCCCCATAGGGAGCTCCACCGACGGCTCCACTGCAACCGCCCGCATGCGTCCGCCACACCCATGTCGGCACACCCCTCACACGTTTCGTGGCCCCATAAGGAGCTCCACCGAAGGCCCCAGTGCCACCGTCCACATGCGTCCGGCGCACCCATTTCGCCACACCCCTCACAGGGTTCGTGGCCCAAAGGGAACGCCACCGAAGAAGATCTTCACAAATACGGTACGCACAACAACTGCATATGGTTGGGTCCGTCGCCAGGCTAACTGCTCTTTTTCCAAATCATCCTGTGCTGTTGGGCCTTCACTTTGAAGAAACAGCGCCCCGCGTTCCTTCCTCCTCCCTCCTTCCTTCCTTCTCCCCTCCTCCTCCCGTTCCTCCCTCTTCCCGTCACCCCTTTCATTTTGGCGTACCCCTCACACGCTTCGTGGCCCCATAGGGAGCTCCACCGAAGGCACTAGTGCCACCGGCCACATGCGTTCCCCGCACCCTCACAGGTTTGTGGCCCCATAGGGAGCTCACTGCG